GCTGGCTACACACGGTAGCCCATGGCAACCCACTGCAGCAGTGGCTGCAGCCTATGCCGTCGCTGTCGACTCACGGCAGCCCAGCTCCAGGTTGAGCTGTTGTTCAGCAGCTTAGCTGTAGAGGGCAGTGTCACTGGCCCTCATATGTGGGATCCGAACCAGGGCCCTCTCGCGTCCCAAGCCAGCTCTTAACCAGCGCGCCACTCGGCCCGTCCTTGAAGTGATTCTTTAATTTCTAATTCTCTGGTTTTATAATATAGTGTAAAAAAGTTTACTTTCGAAAATTTGGTTGATGAGTGTGTAATAATATATAACTTGTGAGCAAATTCTGTTTACCTAGTTTAAAAATCCATTGTTTTATCTAGTATACTTTGTATTTTCACTGTGCTGGAGCTGAAAACAGATGAATACAAGACACTGGCCTGGGACTTCTTACCATCTACAGTCTAGGCAGGGAATAACTATTCAACTAGCTTTTATTGAGCTCTTCTAATCAGGTGATTTGATAGGTGATTGAGATACAAGCATAAGATATAAATAATCTCTGCCTTCATTCAGGTAACGTTTACCATAAGATCAATTCTTCATAACAGAAAAGTCAGTGTGTGTGTGTGTGTGTGTGTGTGTGTGTGTGTTTCATAAAATGTTTTCCAATTTGGGTTTATGTGGGGTTTTCTAATGATTAGATTGAGGTTACGTGTATGTATCTCCAGTCAATATACTACAAAAGTGATGTGTCAGGACATCATATGTCTGAGGAACTCATTGTTGTGTTCATTTTGGTCACCTGATTAAAGTATTGTTCTGTGCCTTCACTGAATATTTATTTTCCCCCTTGTAAATAATAATCTATGGGGAGATACTTTAAGATCCTGTATTTCGCTGCTTGTTGAACATCCCCTCTCCTTCTCCCCTGATTTAGCAGCACTTGATAACTGTCTAAAGCAATCTTTATTTTGAAGGCTGCAAAATACTCATTTTTCTGTTCTGCTCCATGCTCCATGTCTGTCTCTGTCGATCATCTATCTACATCCATGTGGCTGTATTTTAAGTATAGACTCTTAGGTTTCTGTTTTATTCAGGGGATTATAATCTGTCACTGTACTTACATCAATGTTAAAATTGTCTGAGATTTGGCTTGGGGAGCCTCATCAAATCTGGTTCGTGTGTCAGTCTGATACGCGCTAACGTTTTTTGAACACTTCCTTGCTTTCTAGTAAAATAAGATGATCCAGACTAATTTTGTACCTTCCCTTCCATAGCCCTGGATCAGCCATTTCTCCAAGGAGCCTGGTTCCTTTTAGGAGGAATGGTACTTAGAAACAGATCTGGGAACTACAGATGCTTATTGCTCCTGGGGTATCAGGGAGAGAGGGAAGGAGGGGGATTTTAGAAATTGTGAGTCCATACTGACACCTCCAGTTTCTAATCCAACTTCACAAAGTTTTTCTTTTCCTGTCCCATTTCCCTTTTTCCTTGCTCTGGCAAGGTTTGTATTTTTGTTAAGGATACCATAGAAGTGATGTGCCCTTCTCAGTGTGTCACACGGGATAAAGGATGTTAATATGTATATTACCAGTGATTCTAACAGAACATTCACTTGATTAAAGTGTCTGCCAGTTTCTCCCCATTTTCTTTTTTAATATCTTGTGGGAGGGGACACTGAAAGTATGAGATTTTTTTTGGGGGGGGGCGATTTTAACATGGACAGTTTTTGCCTGCAACAATTATTGTGATGTTTGCCGGATGTTGACTTTCTATTGCCCACTTTCCTTTTACATTCATAAATTGGAATTTTACTGTAAGGAAGAGCTCTACCTTCCTTATGTTTATTCAGCTGTTTGTATCAGTTAGGAAAAAGACACTCTATGGCCTATAGCCCACTACGATCATTTTGTTGCTCAATTTGTTGTAGTTTGGTGATAGAGAGCACCTTCCAGGCAGAGGCTATATCCTTTCAACATGCTCATTTCATTTTTTTAGCACTTCATTTTCTGGCAACATAAGACATTCCAGGCTAGGCTAGTACCTTTCCTGCCCCAGCAACCCTCAATGCAACTATTTCTTCAAGGAGCCCTGACACATTTCTTTTTGGAGAATGATATTTAGACTAAGATCTGGGTGCCAGGTATATTCATTGTTACTGGGGTGTTACTTCTTGTAAATTCTGTCAGTTGACAAAATTAGGAAATTATATATAACAAAAAAATAACACATGCATCTATACTTTTTTTTTTTTTTAGTGCAGCAACATTTTATTCAGCAAAGGCAGAACAGCAGCAGAACTCAATTAAAACAGCAGCAGCAGAGACAGAACTCAGAACCCAGCAGCAACAGCAGAAGCCAGAACAGAACTGGGGTTTTTACAACACAATAACAATAGTGTCCCGGTGCCAGTACACTGCATCTATACTTCGTGATCCATCTGTTTTTGTAACTTTATTTTGGTCATTTCAGACTTACAGAAAAGTCACGAGAAAAGTGCACTTCCATGTATCCTTTGTTTCAAAGTCCCCCAATTTAATTTTTACTTCCTTTGTCATTTTATCTCTATAATTTCTTTTTGTGAATTATTTGCACACACACATTTGTTTACCCCTCAATACTTGTATTTTCTAAGAACACTTCTGACCATTGTTTCTGATAAGTTGGTGATCATTCAAATGAACCTCTATGGTGTGTAATTTTTCTAGCTGCTTTCAAGATTTTAAATTGATTTTCAGCAAATTGATTATGATGTATTTAGGTGTGATTTCTTTGTATTTATTATCCTGTTTGAGTTTTGGCCTTTCTGATTCTGTAAATTAACGTCTTTTACTAAATTTGGGGCAAGTTTCAGCCATTATTTCAAGTATATACACAAGACCCATTCTTTCGTTGTGAGTCTCCAGTTACACATAGACTGATGTTGTACAACAGGTCACTAATTCTTTTCTTTTTTCCCCCCCAGTATCAGTCTTCAGACTGCATAGTATCTATTGGTCTGTCTTCATATTTCAGTGACACCCTCTTCACCCCATTCTCAAACTGCTGTTATGCCTATCCAGGGACCGTTTTTCATTTTGGCTATTTCAGTTCTAGAATTTCCATTTAATTATATTTAGAGTTTCTATTTCTTTTTTGAGATGTTTTTATTCACTGTGAGCATAGTTTTCTTTACATCCTTGAGCAGAGTTGTAATGGGTGCTTTCAAATCCTTGCTCCCCAATTTTAACAATTGGGTAATCTCGGGGGTTATCTGTGGATTTGGTTTCTTTAGAGTATAGTTTTAATTTATATTTTCCTGTTCCTTTGTATATATATTTGGTTATCGGAAAAGTCATTACGTATGTTTGCGACAGATGGCACTAGTTCATTTTTGGAAGTACTAGAGTCATTTGCATCTATGTTATTGCTATGTCATTTGACAGCTGACAATTGTAGCTTCATTCTAAAACTTGAGCGATTTGGTTGAGTTTTGGAGATTTTGCAATAAGTTGAAGATGGAAGACTAAACTGCGTTTTTGCCATATTTTACTGTTTTCCTTCCATAAAGGGAAGAACACGCGTCAAGCTTGTGAAAAGTTGCATAAAGTTTCTGGTGACAATGCTCTACAAGAACATCAGTGCCAACGATGGTTCACGAAATTCCATGCTGGTGATTTTTATCTCAACGACGGTCCTGGGTCAGGGAGGCCCACCGAGGTTGATGACAATAAAATAAAGGCATTGATCGAGTCAAACCCACGTTACACAACACGAGAGATTGCAGAAACATTGAACATCCATCATTCAAGCATTCACGACCACCTGAAGTAGCTGGGATACGTAAGCAAGCTTGATATTTGGGTTCTGCATGAACTCAAAAGAAGTTCATTTGATGGCGCGTATAGACATCTGCAATATGCTCATTAAACGTGAGGAAAACGATCCTTTTTGAAGCGACTGATAACTGGTGATAACTGGTGATGACAACAATGTGGTGCACAAACCGTCTTGGTCCCGATGTGATAATTCGCCTCAAACGACATCAAAAGCAGACATTCATCAGAGAAAGGTTATGCTCTCAGTGGTGAGATTTTAAAGATGTGTTTTTCGAGCTCCTCGCAAGGAACCAAACAATCAATTCGAATGTGTACTGTCTGCAATTGGACCGTTTTGAATCCACTATCCAGTAATGTCCAGAGCTTGTTAATTGTAAAGGAGTTGTGTTCCCTCATGACAACACGAGACCACACACAATTGTGAGCACCCGTCAAAAATGATTGGAGCTTGGATGGGATGTGTTGCCACACCCACCATACTCGCCACTTGTTTCACTCTCTTCAAAACTCCTTGCATGGTATAACGTTCAATTCAGACGAGGCTGTAAATCAGCACCTTGCTCAGTTTTTTGCAAATAAACACAGGTCCTTTTATGAACGAGGAATTACGAAGCTCAATGGAAGATGGCAAAAGGTTATTGAACAAAACAGGCAATATATCATTGATTGATCTTTGTTCTTTATATAAATAAATGACCTTTGAAACACATAGACAAAATACGTCATACTTTTCCAACAACCCAATAGTAGTTTTGAAATTGTGTAATGCATATTTTCCTTTTACCCAAGAGTTAATTTAACAGAAAGTTATTTAATTTCTAGATGGAAGCACCTTTTTGATTTTTGGTTGGTTCTTCATATCTTGATTTATTTAATTGTGATCAGAGTGTTTATACTATTTCTACTTTATGGAAATAATTGATGTTTTGACCTAATATATAATCTACTTTTGGGAATATTCCATGTGTTCTTCAGAAAAGGT